TAATTAAGAGAGTGAAAATCCAGTGGGTGACTGGAGTGAAGGCATATAACCAAAAGGGGAGGGGGTGGGGGGGCTCTCAGGAACATTAGCCCAGTTCCCAAGGGAGCAGTCAGCCGCTGCAAGGAGAAGCATTTCCACAGGGAAGCTTACTGCAGGAAGCAGTAGCCATGAGGCTCCCCATAAGGGTGAGAACAAGCCTAGCCCTGGGAGTTAGAATTTCTGGGAGGCCAACTTTGTGCAAGGCAGTACATGTACATTTCAATTGTGCTAATTTATGTTTACTTATGTCCAGGGTTCAAAATACAGGGGAGTTCGGGGGGGGGGGGGAACTGAGTCCCCCCATAAGAGACAAGAGCCCCCCTATAAGAGATGAGAGCCCCCCAAAAGACCCCCAAGAGCCCCCAGTCTGCCCACGCCGTTCTAAACAGCTCAGGAGGTGGCAGTGGTGGCTCCTTCTGGCTGCCACCACCACAGACCTCCCCCCCCACCAAGAGCCGGCATGTAATTCAAACCCTGCTTATGTCTGTTGTATAACCAGTAGACTAGGTGTGGCTGTAAGGGGTGAAGAGGAGCCCACAGGGCTGCTGCAAAGGCACTGTAACAGGGTCCCTACCCTGTTACTAGAATGGGAATGAGGCTAGCTACCCCTGGCCCTTTACCTCTCCATCACTTCCCTCCCTATACCTTTTCCTCCCTTACTTTTTGTGGGTTTTCCAGTGCATCCTTTCCCTCATAGAGGTCCCTTCCCCCTGGTTTCATGGGCATGAGGTCCCTTTCCATTTTGCTTCCTTCCACTTCATCTCTGTGTCTCTTCTGCCTGTGACCTGATCATGCCCCAGAGGCAAACTCACAGGCAAGTGAACCTGAAGCAAGATGGCCACTGGGTTCATGTGGAGGAAGAGCCAGATGACCCAGGGAGGGGAAGCAGAGGGGGCATGTGACCCAGACAGCCCTGTATAAGCCCAAGCCTCAAGCCAGTGGAAGCAGTCTGGCCATGGAAGACATCCGGGATGGATCCCCCCTAAGAGGCGTGAGGACTGGTGTCCAGACTGCAGTGAGAGGTCTGAGGTGGCAGCCCCAAATGAAGAGAAGCTGGGGACCAGCATAGGAAACAGCCTGAGTACCCTGGGCATGTTCTGTTTTCCCTTCTTTTCTAGGTAAGGCCCACCACCAAGGAGTGTGGTGAACCCTGTATGGGATGTTCTTTTGAACTGGGCCTGGTGCTTGCATTTTGGGGGATTTTGTTTTCCCTTGGAGGGCTGGGTTGTGGCTGTAGGGGAGGCAGAGGCCACTGAAAGGGGGTGACTGGGGACACCCTGAATTTGAAATTATGCTGAGTAAAACCTGAGGTTACAGGGCATGACTAGAGTGTGTTCTGTGGCCACAAGAGGCCACACCTGCCTGGATTGTAAGGCAGGAAGTAGCAGGGGGGAAATAGGACTCAAGGCCCCTAGCTGCCTATGCAGTGGATATTGCAGGTGCTGGAACCTGAGGTCACAGGGTACAACTAGAGTTGAGCCAAGAGCTGGCAGCCTTGAACAGTTGGCCTTGAGCTAGAGGACTCAGCAAGTGTAAAATTGGGATGAGACCTGGGGGGACACCCTCAGACCAGACAAGGCCCGCCTGTTCAAAAGTGTACTTTGCCCTCTGTGCAGCCTCCCCGGCTAATTTTAGCATCAAGGAGTGGTGAGTGAAACTACTGAATAGGGGAGAGACCAGCCATGTATCCTGCCCATGCTGCTCCCAGCTGTTCTCTGTGGGTACACCAGGAGGGCAGGACTGTGACAGCATGGGACCAGGCCAGGGTGGGACAGAGCTGTCATGGCCCAACATTCCTGGTGTCTCCATGGAGACAGGCCGGGAGTGGTACAGGCAGGGGATGCTGGGAAATGGAATCCAGCCACTGGTCAGATCTGCCATTTTGCCCGCCCCTCCTGTAGCAGCATTCATAAATGGCCAACAGGTACCTAGCATAAAGCCTTGCCTTGGATAAGGGACACCAGGGAGGCTGAGCCAAACTGAGAGCAGCCTTGCCCTGGATCAAGGTGTGCAGGCAAGGAAGCAGGATGAGACCCTAGGAGACTGAAGCAAGAGCCAGACCAGATTAAGGCAGTCGCTAGGTGGCATCATGGCTGCCCTTGGATGCTTTTCTGTTACAGGCTCCAAAAACCTCTTACTTGCAGAGTGTGAGAGTACTTCACATTTCCATTTTTCACAGAGCAGCTTCTTACAAATTGGCTTCTTTTCTACCTTGGAGAACCCTTAACAACTTCAGTTTCTCCCTTGCCTGATGAAGGGTGTGTAAGCCCAAAAGCTTGCAAAGCTTGCAATTTTTTTTGCAACTGTTTAGTTGGCCCAATAAAAAATATCACCTCTACACAAAGAGTTTTGTCTGCCTGTGTTCTTAGACCAACACAGCTACAACCAACAATCCTAAAGTAGTAATACATTCTCTAGTAGCTCTCCTGCCTTAAAACCTGATCTAATGTCCTGATCTTACAGCAGTCAATGGAGAGATACTGGACGATAGATTAGGTTCCTAATGCATCTTTAAAAAATAAATGTAAAAATATCCAAATAAAAATAAATTGGAATCTTTTCACTGGTTTCCTAATTCTCTTGCAACTACCAAGCAATTAATTATTTATTACTAGGCCTTTTTTTTGAAAGCTACAGTGTTGTGTAGGGTTACAAGCTGGGATGTAATGGTGATCTATACAGAAATAACTAGTGAATTGCCTGTCAAGAATGACAGAAGGGGGAGGGCAGGGTTGAAGCATCGCCACCTACTGCCCCGCACCACTGCCACCTCCCAGATCTGACCAATGAGGAGCTCCACAGCCCACATTCAGTCTGGAGGTGGAGGTGAGTTTGGCACCCCTGAACTAGCTTATATTATAACTTCTTTTACAGAGTAGGACAGAGAAGTTATTAATTGGGTGATGCCACGTATAAGCTGCAGTTCTATTTGCAATTTGAAAGTTATACTGTGCATAAAAATATTGTGCACTTGCATATTATGCTACACTGGCCAGCTGTTGTGTCAGTGCTAAGTTTTTCAGCTCTGGGATGTGGAAAAATATAACAAAGGGGACCTAAGTCTTGCAACATGCCCAGGGCCTTATATCAGGTTACTGCTAGAGCCAAGAATGGAATTCAGAATTATCTGGGTTTTTGCCTGTTGTACTTGCTTAACTAGGTAATCCTGCCTTGGTGGCTAGGAGAGGTCATTCCACTGTGGGGCAGTGCTTGGACAATGTGTACCTCATGTATCACAGGCAAAACATAGGGGCTTAGTGATCTAAGACAGAAGGTAACGTAGGTGTAAGGTTAGGGAAGCTGGATCATATGATCATACGATCCATATGTATCCAAACACTATAATTTAGGATGTGAACAGCTAAACAAATTATACAGAGTTTCAAAGTGAGAGAGAAGATATGAAGGAGGACAGATGGCATGATGGCAAGGCTGCCTGTCTGGACACTGTGAAATCTAAGTTCCATTCTCTCCCCCTCTCCTGCCCCTAACATCCTGTGTGACTCTGAGCATGTTACTTTAGTCTCCCTCTGTGGGACGGGTGGAAGAAGTATGCTCATCACTGGGTGCACCAGATTTCTTGTACTTTGCAATTCCTTTAAAACCATTGACACAAAATGAATGAATGGAGTAGGAGGGAGGACTTAATATGCATCCGTTCATTTGCAGTAAGTATTTCTTCTCATGTTGGTTCTACCCTGTGGTAAGAGGAAGCTAAAATGTAGTAATCTAGCAGTTGTTTGATTCTGGCTTAACTTCCACGTACCTCAGGATAGAGCCCTCCTATCTTTAGTCCCATATATTTGTTCATCTATCTGTACCCTTCTGATCACATCCGTTTGACCTAACGCCTATGTTTCAGGAGCAGGGTAGGTTAATTGTATATTTCTGTTCAGTAGTGTTTTATCACCACTAAAAGGTAGGGCTATATGAAGCTTCAGGTGCTGATTCGATTCGGAGGAGATTTGGCCTGATTCGGTGGCCAAATCTCCGAATCCAAATCGAATCAGTGGACTGATTAAAAGGTCTGAATCAATTCAAAGCTCTCCAAGAAGGGGGGAGGGGACTATCGTGGGACCCCCACCAGGCCCCAGTCATGAGCCCCCGACCCCCCTGCTCTCCCAGCCCCCCATGGCTGCTCAGCCTGCCCCAGCTCCTGGCTCTTTAAGAAAAAAAAAACCCGCACTCACCAGTTGCTGCAATGGCCTCAGAGCTTTGGGGGGCTTGTGCAGAGCCCCCTGTGCAGCACAGGGCAGTGGGAGACAGCGGGGATTGCCCCCGTGCTGGGTGGCACCAGGTGAGCCTGGCGGTTTGGGGTTGATTTTTCTTTTAAAGTGTCGGAGCTGGGGCAGGCGGGGCAGCCATGGAGGGGCTGGGATGGGACAGTTCGGGGGACTTGTGGCAGAGACCCTCCATGCGGCATGGGGCAGTGGAGGACAGCGGGGATCACCTCCCTCTCCCCCTGTTCTGACAGGAGCTGGTGAGTGAGGGCTTTTTTTTTTCTTCAAAGAGCCGGGAGCTGGGGTGGGTGGGGCAGCCATTTCCAGGGCTGGGAGAGCGGGTGGGGGATGGGGCCTGTGTGATTTGGAGATTTGGCTGATTTAGCAGCAGCCAAATCTCTGAATCAGATTCAGCTAAATGAATTCAGGACAGTGATTGGAATCACTGAATCGAATCCCTGTCCCCCAAACCGGCCGAATCTGAATCCACAGTGAATACTAGCCACTTTGCACAGGCCTACTAACAGGCACTTAAACCAAAACCTCTCATTTCAAGTGGAGTCAGAATGAAATGTCAGATGTCAGCTTGGCTGAGGCTCTGAGAACCTCAGTATCACTAACCCCAAAAATCACAAGCTGGGACCCCAGAGATCATAAACCAGGCTTTAAAACTGTGGGATTTTAAAACAGTAAATTTTTGCATTGTCTTTATTTTTTGTTGGGGAGCATTACCTTGTGTGTATGTTTGTCTTTGTAATCATGACAGCCAGAAATTTTCTCCTTTCTCCCCAGCCAGCCCCCCCCAAATACAATAAAACTGAGATTCTTGCATAACTACTTGATTCTAGGAGCTGCGGCTTTCAGTAAAACCTGGTATATTATGAAGCTTGCAACTGCAAGCGTTTATTGTGCTGTGTATTGGAATGTCTTTGCCATCCAAACCTAATGTTCTCCTTTATTTGCATTTGAATTCTCTAATTCTAAATGGATTAACTTGAATAAAAACTTGTAATGTGGGCTGTAGAGCTGACAGAGTCTACTCATATAGTGTTCTTGTGACTCCTAAAATCTCTACCATTTCTAAACTTAATTTAAAAAAAAACTTTCAGGCTATTCATTTGCTTCTGAGTCAAGTTTTATAGCTCTGATCCTAAACTCTGTGTAGCTCTTAATCCTGCAAGCCCGCATGTTTGTGCTTACAAGAGAAAACACTATGAAAGGCCAACCTAAACTCCTCCCCTTTACAAAGTGCCTTGCTCTGTTACAGTGTGTTACTTTCTCTGCGGCCCCATAAAGGCACAGATGTGAAGAGGCAGCTGAAGTGCATGAAAAAAGGGGTTGGCAAAAGGTAAGAATTGGAAGGACACAAACCTTTTAGCAAGGGGGAACGAAGGAAAAAATATGATGCAGAGAAAATAGCTTTTGTACTTTATCTCTATTTTATCTCCTGTCCCCCCAAATGCTCTCCTCCCCTGTCAAATTACCTATTATCCTATTGATAGCCCCTTTCTGTACTACTAAAACAGTCACCTACTCAGTTTATTGTGTCTCCTTTTCTTATGGAGCTTCTGCTTGTCCAGACCCTGTATCTGGCACTCCCCTGACTAAAATGAAACCTTCAAAACTCAGTTGACTCTCACTCAGCTTTTGCCCATCCAGTCAGCCAACACCATTTATCCTTTCTTGAGGGACATCTTGGTAACCACAGTGGTTTCTAGGGTATAATTGAGAAGCAGGCAAATGCTGGAAGGCTCATGGTAAGATGGATTTATTCATCTGTATCCTCAACAGAAATGTTCACCTTCCTTCTTTATTGTAAACCCAGGACATAATTATTTGAATTTTGAAATCATTCTGCTGAAACTGCAAGGTCTCTGCACCTTGACAAATCCACGTACTGACAAGTCTCTAGAGGGAGTCTCCTCTACTACAGGCTACCATGGCAAAGAGAGTTGCAGTTATTGGATCAGGTGTGAGTGGACTGACCTCCATCAAATGCTGTCTGGATGAGGGACTTCAGCCAACCTGCTTTGAGAGAAGTGATAATATCGGGGGACTCTGGAGATTCACGGTAAGTGTGTGTGGTTGCCTGAGATTAATGCAGTGACTGCCTTCAATAAATTGGACTGTTCTGCAACCTTCCAAAAGAACCCAAATTCCCATCTGCTGTGGGGTACAGATGGAACCACAAAAGAAAAAAAGAAACAGTGGATAAAATAGCCCTGGGAGGAGCAGCAGGGAGGTGGGAAGCAGTACCCTATTTGCACATTCCTTTTGCTTTCTCAGCTGTTTTGTGCTCTGTGCATTGGGTCACATGGTAGTATGAGTGGAACTGGAAAAAACATCCAGTTTGGGGACCAACTGAGTTTGAAGTGTTATCAAGGCCTTAAAAATGCAAGCCAGAGTGAGCCAGCTTTCTTGCAAATTCTGCAAGCCTCAGCATGTAACACTGGTCTTTCAAGTACAGGTCTCTTTTGTATGACTGCCTGCCTTTTGCCTTACTCATTGTAACAAGATACGATAGCAAAGCTGTGGAACAAGGTCAGGGGACAGCTGTATTTTGTGGTACATGCTCTCAGAAATACCATCAAAACGTCACTGGTTGTTCTGCCATGCTGCCTTCAGACAACAAAGGAGAAGAAAAGTGTGATAGGAGTGTCTTATGTCAGGCTGACTCTCTTGGGTTTGCTATTGGAACTTTTAAGTGACACAGAGGAATTCTGTGTAAAGAGGTTGTCTCCTTTTTTTGGTGCTTATTGAGGGCTTGAAAGGTTGGAGGAGAAGAAGAGTGGAGTTGGAGGATTATTTTGTATTAAAGATATCAGGAATTCGTCTTCTTCCCTGGCTTTGCAGAGCACTTGCTGGGGTTTATACAATATGAGTTTTCACGTCTTTAATGAAATGTGGTTGGAAGCTTTTTGGTCATTTTAACAATGATACTTTGTCTCTCAAATGTTCAATAGACACTATCATTAAATAGATATTAAAAAACCAAAAACAAAGCAAAAGATGTTAAACAGTCTGACACATGGAGTTAACATCCATTTTCCTCTCAGTTCAACTTTTGTTTTACTCTCTCGATTTTTATTGCGTCCAGTTTTCAAAGAAAAAACAAAGCAAAGTATTCCAGTCATTATTCACTTTTTAAAACAAAGAAACAAGGAAGGGCCCAAGTCTGACCTCTTCCATTCCTTAATTTTTTTCCACTTTCCCACTTCATATATTCAGATATTTAACACAGTGCAATTAATTGCTCAATTTCTAAAAACAAATACACTTCTGAGCCATTGGCAGGAGTCAGCAGGGCAGCAGACCAGCTAATTACTCAAACGGGCCTGGCTGCCCATTCACCTAAGTACTTCCAGCTCATCCAAGTTGCTGCACAGGCATGGCTACCTGCTTACTACTGGAGGAGCCTTATAAGCAGGCTACTCAATAGGACAAATGCTGTTCTGATTCATTAGTCCTGGTTCCTGCCTACTGATCCCTTTGCCGGTTCCTGACTCCAGTCCAGACCCCAGTCTCCTGGTTCAGGGGTTCCTGGCTTGCAGCTTTGGTTGGTGACTGTCCATGGGCTGGTCCCCTTCACTTACAGCTCTCTGATTTGCATCCCCTGGCCAATGACGCCAGACTGGACACCTGCTTCCTGGCTCATGGGTCTACCACAGTGACTGCCCATATTTTGGTCCCTTGTAGACTTTGGTCTCCTGATCCCCAGACTCATGACTAGTCTAGTCTGAACCTTGTTTGCTCCTGATTCCCTGGGTTGTGATCCTCTAGGGTCAAGCCCAGACTACCTATGTCCTGTTTGTTCCCTTAGGTTCCAGTAGCCTCTTTAGAGTCACACTGGTTCTCCCTGCTGTATCCCCAGAGTCTTGAAGGCCTAGTTTGGTTGGGTTTCCAAAATCCTGCTCCTTGGGCCCCTGGAAAGAGCTATAGGGAGGAGAGTACTATCAAGGCAGCAGACCAGCTTATTAACCCCAAGCTGGCCCTTGTATCTGAGTAAGCCTGGCCACCAGTGGCCTAACTACTTTCACCTGGCTCAAGTTGCTGTAGTGGTGTGACTGCCTACTGATAACCACTCTTTCAGTAACCAGCAGGCTTCTCAACAGAGCAGATGCCTTTCCCTCTAGCCTTAGGCTTCTTACTCACTGGTCCTGGTTTCTGCTTGTTAGTTCCTTGTTTCCTGGTTACTTTACTTGCTCCAGACTTCCAGGCTCCTGACTCCTTTGCTCCAGACTTGCTATCTCTGGACTCCAGTCCAAGCCCCTGTCATCTAACAGCTGGCTCATGGCTGAGATAAGGCAAATTGGATCAGGTTGAGATGTAGAATAAGCAGCTGTATTTTCACTGCTTGTTCTTTCAAGAAGTCTGAGTTCAGCTGGTCATAAATTCTGACTTCATTGGTCAAACAATTACCTCTTCATAGATTTCATAGACATTAGGGCTGGAAGGGACCTTGCGAGATCATCAGGTCCATTCCCCTGCCCCAGGGCCAGGAAGTCCAGCTGGGGTCAGATCACCCCAGCAAGATAAGCATCCAAGCATTTCTTAAAGGTATCCAGAGTAGGTGCTTCCCTTTTAAATATAACTAAATGGCATGACATTATCTAGGACTGTTTCTTATACTTTGTTCATTTTCAGAGCTGTTTGTATAATTGCTTGCTGTCTCCTGTCAGGGAGAGTACTTGTGCTGGTGCGGAGGTTAACAGTTTTGGAAAAAATATAGAAAATGCAGTATCAAGCTTAAAACAATCTACAAAGATAGAAAAATAGGGTGTGCCCTTTCTCTGCATCTTTTGTGATGTAGAAAATCTCAGTCACATTGCTTTGTTTGCATTTTACTTTCGGGCTATCAGAAGCATCAAGTTTTTTCCTGTTTATTGGGGGAATGAAGAGGGAACTCTTGTCAGCTCTTAGTTGAAAGTCTAGAAAGGTGAATGTTTCACAAAGCAGGCTTTAAGTGATTGAGTTATAAGGGGGGTTTAAAAGATGTTTGCTTAGCCTTCCTTTCCCTCTCAGCCGGTTAGTTTTCACTCAGCTCTTCACAGTCTTCCCAGGTAGACAAACTTTGAATTGCTAATGTAAAAAAACAAAAAAATGCTATTCTGTTCGTGGATGCCTCCGTCCATCTAAAAGATGGAGGAAAAACAGAACAGACCCATAATTTATCTTCTGAACAATGCTTTTAAGAAGGTTTTTAAAGCATTAGGCCTGGGTTTCATTGCATTCTAGGCTAGCTGGATGGAAGAAAAAACAATTTATATCTCAGGCACGTGTCCCACTCAAACCCTGTTGCTGCTGTTCTTCTAACTGGCCCCTTGACTATGCCTGCTCTGAACATGATGTGAAGTTCCTGTTTGAGTTGAATGTGGTCTGAAGCCCTATTCACTCCCATAGTTACTACAAGGGCACTTTTCCCCAGTGAGTATCCTATGATATCTGTCTCAGCAAGGACTGCGTACATTATCCAGAGGAAACGTCTGGTTCTGTGACCTGTAAATTGTCCCTTGGTTCTCAGTGACCCTGGTGTGTTTTAGAACGGTCAGCCTGGTACTTTTTAAAATGGATAAGCCCTTTCTGGTTAAAAATAGAATTTGCAAACACCCTAAAATCCACAGGCTCAGTCAAATTCCCTTTAATTTTTTGCTGTGCTTATAGGAAACTAGCATAGAAAATGGTTGAAATGCGGGGCCTTTTTAAGCAAAGGGTTTTCAAGACAGCACCATGTGGTAGGCAGGGGCAAGGAGGGAAAGGAAGTATTTCTTAAGGTTGACTGACTTCTATCTGCAATTATATAGATGTAGACCTTGAGCCGTCTTGTCTCAATGGCCTGGCATTTGTTCCACCAAGTGCATAATAGAATCCCCTACCCGTTTTGCTAAGTACTGTTGACAGTGTTACTCAAAGTTAAGCTCTCTGGACAGGTTCAGAATGGGCATGTCTACTCTAAGATGTTTTACCTGGGCCCCTGTGGTAGGAGCCAGGATCTCGGGGCCCCTCTGAACCAGGATCTCAGAAGCCTGGTTGCTTCTGGGGGGCATCTCTACTCCTCCCATATGAGTGGGGATCTGGAAGGGCCTTGAAGGTAACAAAAATTCCAACTTCTCTAAACTAATGGAAAAACACATTTAGCCCTCTGAAGACCATTGAGAGGACCTGGACTGTGTGTAGG